AGTGGCAGTACGTGCATGAGCACTAGCAACGTGCAGTGTGCAAAGCAGATGGTTCGGATGCTCACTTTGCATTCGCTATTTGGCACAGCCCTTGGAGCGAATGAGGCATGGTTTCAGGCCTTGGGTCTGGCTACGGCATATTGGCAGTATGTGAGCGATTTTATTTGCAGTTTTGCGTTTGTGTGGTGTCCGATACTGGTTGCAGCACTCTTGTTTTTCTGGATGCGCAAAGAGATTGCAAACAGCAATCAGCAAGTGAGGGATTTGGTGAGGAGTGTCGAAGGAGATGCGTATTTCACCATTTCATGCTTGCGAGATGAGGTAGCTTATTCCGTGACTCGGCTTGAAGAAAGCGTGGTCAGTGCAGATATCAGGTTGAGTGCACTTCTGGATGATGATGGTGTATCCCGTCGTTTTCACTGGATTTGGCATCAACTTGACATGACTAGAATGTTTGCAGATGGTTTGGCCGAGCGCATAGCGGCACTGGAAGCAAGAGGTGGTGAACCAGATGCTGAAGCAGACCCACTTGTCGCAGACACTGAAGTAGATGGAAGTGTTCATCTCAACTTTCGAGATCATGGGTATTTGTCTGAGTCAGGTGAATTTCCTGAATCAGAGATGCCCGAATCTGTGAGTCCGCACAGTGTGGTGGATTGATGTATTTGCAGCAGATGTCCTTTTGTATATGTGGCGTGAGAGAAATGAAATCCGGTTTCCAGATGAAATGGATACAATGGCGAGTTTCACAAAGAGCATTTTGCATAGCTCTTCATGAGCTCAGCTGCTATGTGTGTAAGGCAGTTTCAGTTTGGAGTTGACCGTGAAAACACGGCAATCCAAAGGCGGGGTGAGAAACAGTTGTAACCCCACTTCAGTCCATAGGAGATGTGCATGATGTTTCATGTCACGACACATGAATGTGTGCAGTTGACGTTTGTACTGGAGGCCTTTTGTGGCACGAGCGCGGAAAAGATCGTGCTAGCTCTAGGGTCGAAACCTGTGTTTGGTGAGTTTCCCCTTTTGCTTGTTTTGTTTCTCAGTATGAGAATCCATGTTGGGTTGGCTTGCTTGGTGTTTTGCGCTCCGTCTCCATTTGTTCGCCGCTTTCCTTTATGACTTCGAGCGGCTTGTCGGGTTGAAATGTTCAATTGTACAGTGTATGGCGCAGCACGATGGGTCCTGCCTCGCTACTTTGACTATGACATCGTCAATGGCCCAGCGAACACGAGTGTAGAATGGATTCGGATCTATGTACCGGGTCCGTGGCATCCAGTCCCGGGTCCGTGGCATCCAGTCGCCGCGAACACCTTGGGACCGGCCCCGGATGACTCAACCACCTATCGGGAATGGCGCAAGGTCCACCACTTCGAAGTGTATTGGCCGAGGGAAAGCACAGGCGGCACCAATACAGGCGCTGTTTCGCAACCGGTATCTTATGCATCCTTCTATACTTGGCATTACAGAGACTGGGTCACCAGGGGATACCAACGTCTGGCTTCGGGCGCACCGGACCTCATGTATGCTGGACTGACCTCTTCATCGGCATCCTCTAACTCAGATGATGGCTGATGCTCGTCCTCGCCTTCCTGGGGAGTCTGTTCAGTTCAATTCGATTCGGGAGATTGTCTTTGATACCGCAGCCGTGCAGTGCTGCAAAAGTGATTTCTTGCATTGTGGCAGTTGTTTCGCTTTCACTCATTGTTGTCTGCAGCCGTACACCTATCAATTTGTCTTTCCGGGGTTGCGTTGTCATGGCGTGGCTGGAATGGTGTCCGGATCCTCAACAACCAGATGCCCAGTGGGTCAAGATCTTTCATCCGGGATCATGGACACCACATGAAGAACATGATGCTCCACCTCCTCCGCACACTTATAGAGAATGGAGGGAGTTCTATGCTCCCAACCAGGACTCAGTCGGTGAGCAGGTCAAAGTCACCATGTGGTACAAAAGAGACTGGGCCACAGAGGGCTACCGGAGAGTCGCTGCCCCTCAAGCTGGTCATGAATTTGATTCCATGTGTTTTCCTGATCATCACAGCGTGGCCACGCAATCGGATTGCTAGTGCTTGCACTCGCGGCGTTATACGGGTGCCCTTAACTGTTGAGTTGCAGCTTGAGGCTCAAACCTTTCCTTTCCTTCCAATTTCAGGGCCTTAGATTTTTCTCAGAGCTTGCGCACTGCATGGTTTTGCATGGATCTTGCGTGTTTTGTGAGTTGTTTTTCCGCAGCAGTTCCTTCCCGGCTCACGTCCGTGCTCAGGTGCATGTCCGTTCGGACCTCGATGCTCTGCCGTTTGCCCCCCCTTTTTCTTTTCGGGCCCTTTCCCCCCCCTTTTTTCGGGTCCTTTTGGGGGTGGCCGTTTCGCCTTGTGTCAGGACTCCCTCCAGTTCGTCACAGCCCGGGCCTTGGAGAAGGGTGCACAGTTCACTTCTTGAAAGTCCCAGTTGCCTTTCCCCCTTCGTCTTCCTTGCGCCTCGCTCGTGCCCTGTCAGGCGGCCGTGTTTCAGGTACCCCGCAAGTCCGGCCTCAGTCCCTCTTGCACCGTGCGCCGCCCTCAGGTTACTTCTGCCTCTTGTCTTTTGCCGCCAGGCCTACGGTCCGTGCCTCAATTCTTCCTTCCGCTTGGCCCCGTTTGCGTTTGCGTCTCCAGTGCCCGCACAGCGTTGGTTTATCCACAGCTCTTGGCTCAGCTCAGTTCTTGCTTTGGTCTCCTTGTCGGCTCCCTGACCGCCATGAATTCCGCCCTGGCCGATTACCTGTCCAGTGACGAGGAGACTGGCCCGCTTGGCGAAACCATCACGGGGGGAAGCATCTTGCTCCCCCCAGAGTTGGTCTTCGAGGGCGACGCCCTGGGTTGCCTCACCTGCTACGCTTCAAGTGACGAAGACCCGACTGACAGAGGTCCCTTTGCTGCCTCTGCAGCCCAGGCACCTGCGCCTGCCGGAGCAA